CTTACCACTTATCTGCCCAAGCCTGGATGTTGCCCAGGTCTTCCTGCATTTGGAAAAAAGACTGCTTCAGTATCTGAGGAGTTGCAAATAGTGCTGAACATTGTGCAATCTTCAGCAAACAACCCCAATTCTGACCTTATGATGGAGGGTAAGTCATTGATGAAGCAGCTGAAGATGACTGGGCCTAGTACACTACCCTGAGGAACTCCTGCAGAGATGTTCTGAAATGATTGCCCTCCAATGACCAGAACCATCTTCCATTGTTCCAGGCATGACTCCAACCACCAGAGAGTGTTCCTGTTGATTCCCTTGACCTTAGTTTTTCTCGGATATCGCACCTAGCCAAAATGATGTCCTTATGTTGAAGGCAGTCACTATCTTTTCACATCTCATGTCCATATTGGACCAAGGCTGTTACAAATCAGGAGCTGCATGGTCCTGGTGGGAGCCAAATTGAGTGTCAGTGAGTGGGTCATTGTTAATTAAGTGCTGCTCGGCAGCATGTTTGATGACTCATCATTTTACTGATGATCGAGAGTTGACTGATAGAGTGGTAATTCTTGTGGTTGGGTTTGTCCTACTTTTTCTTCACAGGACATATCTGGGCATTTTCCAACTGTGTGTTCAACTTGGATTATGAATTCATTAATTGTGAATCAACTGTAGGAGTTTCCCTGCCTTTGTTGCACCTGATGCCATGAGATTTTATGGGATCCATAGTCAATGTTGAGGATTCCCTTGGTAACTGCATCCTAACTGTAAATCACTGTGACACCACCTCTGCTGAGTCTGGGCATAAACAAAGACCATGACTAGTGGTGTCTGGGGCATTGTTTGCAAGGTATGATTCCTTGAATATGGCTACATTAGGCTGTTGCTTGACCACTAATGAGATAACTTTCCTAATTTTGGCAAAAGCTCTCGAATGTAAGGAATGCTTTGCTCAGTCAAAAGGTCTCTACTTGCTCTTGTCATTTCCGGTACTTAGAATGATGCCAAGTGTTTTCAGTGGTTTGGTAAAACTGAGTAGCTTGATAAGCCACTTCAGAGGACAGTTAGGAGTCAACCACACTGCTGGAGTCACGTGTAGGCCTGACCAGGCAAGGATGGCCAAATTCCCTCCCTAAAGTACATAGGCGAACCAGATGAATTTTTATGACATTGACATTTATACTAGCTTTTAATACTATATTTTATTGCATTCAAATTTCACCATGTACCATGGTAGAATTTGAGCACATGTCCTCAGAACAATAGTCTGGTTCTCCAAATTACCATTCCAGTAACAAGGTGATTACTATGCCACTGCCTTCCCTACTTCTCCTCCCTGTCTGCTTCTGAAATCCTCTTCCATGCCGTTGTAATCTCTAGACTTGACTATTACAATGCACTCTGCTCTCCTATATTCTAACCCCACATAAACCAATTCCAAAATCATGTCTTAAAACACACAAGACATTGTTCATCCATCAGACTAGTGTTTGCTCATCCATTTTGGCTTGCAGTTATACACAAATTGGTTTTAAAATTCCCATTCTTGTATTCAAATTCCTCCACGGCTTACACAATACTGCCTGAATCACCCCTCCTTCATCCTCAAAAGTCTTTGACTGTGAACAACCATCAAAGTTTATCAAGTTCTTTACTGGAGTGGACCACCTACTGGTTTTGAAAAGGCCATCCTGACTTTTATGGACTCTATTAAAATAGTTAAAGGTGTGGGTTTCCAAATGGTGTAAGCAATAGTGATATGAGGATTCTTAATGCTTATGTCTTCTTTGCAACACATTCAGAAGTAATAATGATAAAGTTTCAATTAATGCAGATTTGTGTAAATTGCTGATTTCTGCATGGTGAATCAAGGTGAATCAATTTAATTTGTGAAACTTGAATTAATTCGGAGGAAGTAGAGTTCCACTTGTCAGCTGATAGAAAAATTAATGCAAAAATAAACAGGTAAATATTAAAAATGATTACCAGAAGAGCAAAATACTTATCTAACAGCGGCTCTTTCACAGTCTGTTCATGTTAAATCTCATGTGCATGTGTTTTTTTATTTATGTATATTCCACATGCGTGGGTATTAGTCACTCACACACACAATACCATTCCAACACGTTCATAATCTTGTACTGAAACATACTCCTTAAACACTGTGCTTCAGACTCAGAGAACCCTGGCTTCCATGTTCAGCTGTCAGATGTTTTATCATATTTGTTTTGAGATTGTAAGTAGAGGCTTTCACATGATTTAAAAAATTTCATCTTTTATTTATAAAGTTCTCTGAGCTCCTATGTACTCGGAACTTCACATGGCAAGGGTCTCTCTCTGTCTCCGCCACATAGTTGTGTTCTCAAGTCAAACTGAGACTTGCCTCTAGAGTGTACCATCAATTGTGCATCATTGGGAACTGGAAACTGGTGTACAGTGACAGAGAAGTGGCAGAAAAACTGCATCCTAATATTATACACAGACAGCATACACCTGGACTCATGCAAGAGCTTTAGGTGCTTTGAAACTATAGACTTTCATTGTCATCATACTTCTCTTCATACACTCCACATTTGGGAGCTGCTACACTCCTTTGTTAATGTACAGATTTGGTCCAATTGCACATTTATTTGTGTTGAAGAAGTATTCTTTCACTGTCCTTAGGCCAACCGTAAAGTATGAAATTAGAATCATATGTAGGCCAGACCAGGCAATTTCCCATTCCTGGAGGGCATTAGTGATCCCACTGAGTTTTTACAGCTATCCCACAAATGACCAGATTCATTAAAATCATTTTCACAACTTGCCATGCTGAGATTTGAACTTATGAGCTTTGGATAATTCAGCACTCTAAATACTGGGCCAACCTATTGTCAGTCAATGTTTTCTGTAGATTGATTGGTTTACACAACAGAGTAAAGTTTACGGAGAGAGAACCACTTATCTACATCTAGGTGCAAAACAGTAGTATAAAATGCATCTTTAACTTGTGTGCAAGACTGATGGATGTTAATATCTGTTTTACTGCTCCAGGCTTTGAAATTATTGCTTTAGTCTACCTAAAGGATGAAGTTATAACAGAACACTTACGCGTATCAAGTCTGTTTAGCAGAGTGATATTTACATATGTATATCCATAATACTAGTGTCATCTATATTGTGTACATCAGTTACCAAGTGGACGCTACTATACACCAATATTAAATCATGTCAGTGGGCGTATCAATTGCATTAAAATGACTGACAAATACTGATTTTTCTTTCATCATGTTATCACAACTTGTCAAAATTTCTCATATTATTCCCCTATCCTGTCAGGTTTCCATGGTTGCTTAGTATTTTAGCCGCTAGGTGGAGGCATTTGATAATTGAAATGTAGGGTGGCCTAATCGGATCCACTTGTCTTGCAGTTAGGCATTTTGGCCAGCAGAGGAGGCAGCAGCAAACCAGAAAATGCTGAACCACTTGCTGATGTGAATAGCTTTTGCAGCAGTTTACGGAATCTGCATGGTTTGATTCCCTTACCTCCTCTCTCTTTGAACTATTCCGCTGTAATCTGCCCGACACCAGCCTGGAGTTTTGTGGTTCGGCAGGTGCACACAGTCGCTTCTTGTAAAAGTCAGTTTGCGGAAGAATGTTTTCCTTTAAAACATCTGAATGTCCGATGCATGAGAGTAAACGGAGTATTTTTTTACCTTCTCATAATCAATCTCTATTGACAAAAAGACAGGATTGTATTGCCTCAAGAGCTGCACGTCATTGTCAGTTTTTTTTTCCTTCACAAGTTTATTAAACGAGATATTACGATTTTTTTTTACTTGTAACATTTTACCTATAACATTTTCAGGTAAGAAGTCCTATGGATTTTGTTAGGCTTTCTCATTCCAAATTTGGATTTTGTTTGGTGTGTTTGGAATGATCCGAATGCATAAAGTTTTCACCAATCTTTAAATCACGAAAGTTTAAATAAATCATTTGGTACGGTCCACGTGCTCGCAAACAGCGATCAGCTAAAATACTATTTGGTTTAATGCCTGTAAACATTCTCGTACAACTGCTACTTGGAGATAAAGCAACAATTTAATAAAGCTATTTTTAAAATTTGCTGTACATAAGATTTTACTTGGCATTCGCATGAAACCGTGTTCTAGCCCAGACTGTGTGAAAATTAGTTTCTTTTTTTTTGAATTGAGACCGCGCATTTTGGGAAAATATAAATCTTGCTGTTACCAACTAAATCGGAAAAAGTCGTTTGCAAAATAGTTGAATCATGCATATTCTTGAACTGAAGCATAATATTACTAACGATTAAGGCAGTGGACCACCTCGTTCTCAACCACCAGAGATACGCTCACTGCTCTCCTTCAGATTTCGGTTTTATTCCCTTGTATCGAATTTGTAATCAGTAACAGATAATGTAACACTTTAAGTCGATGTCTCGGTCTAGTACTTTGAATCAGCTTGTCCTTGACTACAAACAGCTAATTATGAGTCACAGTAAACAATTTACACATGGTCAGTACACAATTTACAAAGGCATGTTAGTACTTTGGGACGATTTTCCTTTGGTGTCTTGGTCACATTAATTAACACGTCCCGTTTCAAGTGAAACGTTCTGCAAAGAATAAAACAAAAAAAAAATTCCCTTGGTATCTAGTCAGACTATCTCTGGCCTTTCGAGAAACGTTTACAGTTATAATAAACCGGAATCCCATTTGCAGGCAAAGCAGGTACTTCAACCTGTGCAAGCTGCGTGCACCCCTTTGACCCGAGGCAATGAATGCTGCCCCCTCCCCCCGAGGGTGGGTGACAAGTACCAGCAAAGCTGGCCGCGCCTGCGCCGTCTCCAGCACCTGTCGCTTTGCGCGAGCTCGGGCGGCTCCACCAATCCCTGACCGACGCCCCACCTCGCGGCCCGCCATTGGTCAGTCAGGGCGACAGATGCAAATCCATGCGCGTGCGCCCTGCTCCCCTCTGCACCTGACTATTTACAGCAGAAACTGCAGGAATGCGGTCGCAGTCTGCACTGCCTCCTGCAAGAGCACCATCAGCAGTACCCCTCACTTCACATCGGACATATTCTCAACTGAGGAGGGGTGGGAGCAGGAGGCGGGAGAGAACTTTGCTTTGAAATCCTCCTGCTCCACTTCTGGATTACTGTATAGAAAACTGTAAACACCCCACACACCCACAACGTCCCTCTTCCTTTCCCCCACCCACACCCCCAAGATGCCGCGATCTTTTCTAGTCAAGAAACATTTTAGCACCAGCAAAAAACCAAATTATGGCGAACTGGACACGCAAACAGGTAACTTCTATGATCTTCCTACTGTGTAATAATAAAAGACACATGGCACGCATGGAAGTTTGTGAGTTCTGGAGTTTGTTGCAACTTTCTGCTTTTGGCTGAGTGACTTTTTGTCATTGAATGAAGCTCTAAGTTCTACAGTAAAATATGTGTGAACCCGAATATAGTACGAAATCTTGGGTGGCAGCAAAGAGGTGAGATGGGTCAATTGAAGACGTATCCTACGAATCACCGCTGTCGGGAATGATTTAACTTTTGAACTGCTTTATAATCTTGTTGATATGTGGTGTCTTATTTGCGTGTTTTATTTTGCTTGCAGTCATCATTTCTCCGTTCCTGTATGAGAGTTACCCAATGCCAGTTATTCCTCAGCCGGAGATCCTCAGTTCTGGGGCTTACAATCCAGTCAGTGTGTGGAGTGTTTGCTCTGGGCTCATCCCTTCTCCTGTCCCCAGTGACCCTGCACCTGCCTCGGAATACTCATCCGCTCACTCCTCGCCCCTCAGCAGTGGGAGCCTATGTCCAGCGGGGCACCTCAGCCCTCAGCAGTCCAACTCCGATCGGTTGCACAGGGATCCAAATAGCTCGGAAAGTTCGATCAGTGACGAAGAAGAGAGGATTCTTCCCAAAGTCTCGGATGAACACGGCGTGGACGCCGAGAAGTTTCAGTGTAACTTGTGCAGCAAGGCATACTCCACTTTCTCAGGACTGGCCAAACACAAGCAGCTACATTGCGACGCTCAAACTCGCAAATCCTTCAGCTGTAAATACTGTGAAAAGGAGTATGTCAGCTTGGGAGCATTGAAGATGCACATCCGGACCCATACGCTGCCCTGTGTGTGTAAAATCTGTGGCAAGGCATTCTCCAGACCATGGCTGCTGCAGGGGCATATCAGAACACACACAGGTAAGTACGCCCAAGTTTTAATGGAATTCTTTTAACCCGATGAGGCGAACTACTTAGTTTCTTTGCGTTAAAAGATCATAAAATATTAAGCACCTTCCGACACATTATACCATTAGTAGATATCTGGCACTTTACCAGATCACATCGAGAGTTCCCTCTTAAAGTACAATAAATTCACGTCTTGTGGTATTTGTGGATTTCCCCTTTAAAAAATAACAAAAGTTGATAGCAAAAGAAGAGAAACGAAGTTATTCAAAGCTTGTGAGAATTTATTTTGAGATTGCACTTAGCGAGGCAGTTTGGGTAAACGTTGGCAGATTTGTACATACGCCTCTATTAAACCGCCCTCAAGACACAACAGAACCCGTTGTTTAAATAGTAGAAGAAATGTTGTGGCTGCTGAGTCTGAAACTAGTCTGCAGTTTGTACTCCCAGTGTTATCTGTTTGGTGATTCTTTAAGAATCAGAATCATTGCGATGTTGACAGGACACGGGTCTGAATGCACCTGTTACCACTTGGCACCATCAGCACTTTTCATCTTTACCGCTTCAGTCTCTGTTCTTCCATTAATATTCCGATAGCTCGTTCCCTTTTTAAGCCACACAATATTTTCGTTACAACAGTACGATTACTAGCGTATTCTAAAAATTCAATAATTTTACCAAAATTAAAATGCAATAACTGTTTTGAATAATTTTAAATAATAGATTTGATTAACAATTGAATGTTTTCACTTTCATTATATGATGTTTATCAGATTAAAGTAAAATAATTGAATGACGATTTTCTTCTATTTTCAGGTGAAAAACCATTTTCTTGTCCTCATTGCAGCAGAGCATTTGCTGATCGATCGAACCTGAGGGCTCATCTACAAACTCATTCAGATGTGAAAAAATATCAGTGCAAAAATTGTGCCAAAACCTTCTCCAGAATGTCTCTTCTTCACAAACACGAAGAATCAGGATGTTGTGTAGCACACTGAGAAACATGGAGTAATATTAAGGAGGAAATGATGATTCTGTTTTCACACTCACTACCCAGTATTTAAACAGCTCTGTTCAATTGAGATTTTAATCTTTTCAGATTGTTGAAGCAATTTTTTTTCTAATTTACCATTTGGTAAATGTTTTGAAAAGCAAAGACTTTGATTACAAACGTTCAAACTATGTACAGCATCATGGAATACAAACGCAGTGTAAAATCCACTTTGTGCCTTCTGTCAATGGGGCTGCACATCATGATCTTTATAATGTAAATTCTCTATTTTTGTATTTGGATGCATTAAGTATGAAAGTGAACTAAATGCAGTAGTGCACCAAGACACTTAAATATGTGCAAGTTAAAAGCAAATTTGTAACAACCTGCACTTTGATATGTTTGGCTATGTATTTTCCCATCCACTTTTTTATAAACGTGATTTTGATTTTTTTTATAATAAAACTTTTAAAATGTATCACACTGCAACATCCGTCTACAAATGTCAAGAAATGGGATGTTAGGCGTCAGACAGACGTGAATACACAAATGTCCATACAGGATAGGTCTTGTTTCTGTGAAATCCTGGCGTTAATTACCATCTGTTTTACTTCAAAGCTGTGAGGCATTTGGACCAACCGGCCAATGCACAGGACATGGCACAGGAAATAATTATTTTCCTGTTGAGGTGTCTGGCAAACTGAAGAGTCATTTCAATGCTAGTGTTTGAGAAACTTTTAACACGTAAACAGATCGTTAAATACTCACTCATCAAAATGAGACATGCAACCTATCCATTACATTACCGATTGAAAGATATGTCTCCTGTTATAGGCAACAATTAGCCTGACCTTCATCTGTGAATTCCTTTCGTTCCCTTTACATTATGTTTTCCCTCTTACTACCATTTGCACAATTTCCTTGTTTGCAACTGATGACATCATATACATTAGAGATTCAGAAGAAGGGTCTAGGCCCGAAACATCAGCTTTCCTGCTCCTCTGATGCTGCTTGCTGCTGTGTTCATCCAGCTCTACACCTTGTTATCTCAGATTCTCCAGCATTTGCAGTTCCTACTATCTCTGAAACATCATATACATCGTTGCATTATGTAAAACTGTAGCCAAAAATCATAACTTTAAATGGTTCACGAACACTGTAAACGTTCCTATGACTCCTGGGAGCATTCAAGCAATTCAGCCTACTCACTTTGGTTAAGTATGATGGACTTGAAAAAAGATAACAAAGCAGGTTAACGAGAACTATTTTCCAGTCAGAGTATAAAACCTTCATCCAGCCCTGTACCTTGTTGTCTCGGATTCTCCAGCATCTGCAGTTCCTACTATCTATAAAACCAACCAATTTGTTTTGGATAATTCCTACCTAGTAGACGAATAAAGTGGATTCTTTAAGAGTTCCACTGACTATAAACTAACGTTTGGGGGATTAACTTTGCAGAATACTATTCACTGTTTATATGTGGATTTGACTAAGTATAACTTTGTGAATTACAAACACTAAATAGACGGTTCTTGAACCGGAAAAGTTCCAGTCGGCAAATATAGAATAAGGGATTGAGTATTACGTAGAGAAAATTGGTGAACCTCTACTTCAGAAAATTTGTAAACGCAGGAGAGAGAGAGTTTAATTGTGTAATATGATCATTAGTCATTCGATGATTACCTTAAATCGTCTGTTAATTTCGCATCTGATCACATTAAGTTTTGTATTTAAATATGCCGATCCTATGCAAACCTCTGATTACTTCAGAGTTGATATTTAAACTGTGGTCAAGATAGATGTTTTGTCTGACACTGAATTAATAACCTGCCATTCAGTTGATTGAGAATGTTTCTTTTCAATCCCTCTTGGCTGCTAAGGCATCACACATTTGTTGTTTCTATAGAAAGTTACTGGGAACTTAAACATCTAAACACAATAGCTTGCAATCTTTAATGTTTCACGGTAAAGATTCCACCTCCCCACCCCCACTCCCAGAAAAAAAACTTGTTGCTAAGTTGGCAATCTAAATATTAAATTCCGATCTTTTAAACTGTGAACTAGCGACGCTTGTTTGCTTTAGATCGAAATCAGAAGTTCAAACAATGCGATTTGGATTTTCTGGAAAAGAATGATTATCTTTATTTCTAAACTGAAGGGTAAATTTTGGACCGATTAGATGAGACTGGCAGAGTCTGATAATGGAAAAAAACTTTACATAATCCTGTCGATTTGTTGCTAAATTAAGTTCTCAAATCAGTTCGAAAAGTAGCATGTAGTTAATATACTGAAACGGAGCCCTACGGAATCTTGCTTTGAAGGTTTGTATCGTGGCCCTTTTCGATTGGTTTCTAATCAATTCCGATTTCGAATTTGACAGTCACCTGTACCTAGCAAGCCAGTATTAATTTCACCGGGGTCTGTTAAATCATTGTAGCAGCAACACTTGAATCTATTCCCAGCTACTTCTCAATTGCAGGAAACAGCATAACAAGATACTTCAATGTAACTGGCACCAGCAAACTTGTTTTTACATGTAGCTGAGCACTGATGTCTTTATTGAAAGAGATCTTTATTGAAATCTTTGTTTATATAGCTAAAGGCGACTTAGAATCTATTGCCCCTGAAATATTTCTGCTCAGGGGATGATAAGTTCAGTTACTTGGTAAATTTAGACCTGGGAAATTTCACATAATTATGTTTAATTGTTATGATGGTTACGTGCCACAGAAAGACGATTAGATTGACTATACGTGAACATAGTTCTCACAAGTGCACATTGAATATATTTCAGTAAATGTAACATTAATTTATTGGTTCTGTGAAGACGTTGCCAACACATACGAAAGAAAACGGAATATCCTAGGCTTCCGTATTACTTGCTACTGAAGAACTGCCTTCCAGACATCAACAACAGTTAAAAGTTAACTTTATGTTCGTAAATATACAACCATATAACAAATGGGTATGTGGGAGGGAATATCCCCAGGTTAACTGTACACTTCAGAAATGACTCCCTAACTTGCCGTTCTGCATTCATCTTCCTCACCTTCCTTCCTCCTTTAGTATTGTTTACCAGTGCAACCTCCTTCACAACTTCCTTCCACACCCTTCATTTGTCCAGCTCGACGAGATCGCTCTAGCTCGGTCCCACTCCTGCCTAACCTATCACGGCTAGAGCATTTAAAGTATTGGCTTATTTTACCAACCTGCACTATTGCATTTGGAACCACCAAAGATCTATCATTGGATTCCTCCACATTTGCTTGCTATCTATTGATGACAACATCCACAACCATGAGACAGCTTCCACATTTATGCTGATAAAACAATTTCATTCTCCACATTTCTTCCGGACCCCTCTGCTAGCTCAATTTTGGCACATGCCCTGTTTGACATGCAACATATAGCACCTTTAATATGGTGAAATATTTCAAGACATTTTCAGGCATGTTATAAAAGAAAATTATGACACAGCACACTTAATGATATAGGGTGACAGGTGAGAAGTAGCTTTTGAGAAGTGTCTGAAGCAGTAGCAGTAGAGTGGTTCAGGGAAATAATTCTAGAGTTTATAATAGAATAACTAAAAGTGGGTTGTGCAAAAAGTGGGAATTGGAAGTCAGGGATGTCAGGGGATTTTACATCTCGGTTATAGAGATAGGTAAGGATGAGGTGTTGGTAGGATTTGATGTAATCACCCACAATAAGTATAGAGATGATAAAAGTTTTGTGCATTAATAAACTGACATTTGAGAGGGAGATGCAGAGAAGGTGACAGTTCATCCACCAACAGAGTTCAGTGGATCCATATAATCTTCAACAAAGTCAAGTTCCTCCATTGAAAACTCGGTATCTTTAACCTTCAGTACAAATTATCTGTCACCAATATCACTTAATTTAACAATGAGGTGAACTTTCACTTCTATATCTTCTCAATCACCAAGACTAGCTATTTCTGCTTCCATCATCCTATTCCACTTCTGCCTCATCCCAACTGTTGTTGAAATCCTTAGAAATAGCTGTTCCTCTCCGCATTATCTGAATGCATTCCTGCTGGCATCACACCCTCCATGCTCTGTAAACACCTGCTCACCCAAAAGTCTGCTTTGCATATTTTAATAAAAGTCAAATCTCTCTCAATCAACAACATTCTCCTTGACAGATTTGAGCTAGATCTCTTTCCACAATGTCTTAAATTTGAAATCCCTATCCATCTTTCCTCTCCTTAGCCCTGCTATCTCCTCCAGTTTCACAATCACCACTTGCTCAAAACACTCTTCCTACAACTCAAATCCCTTGTGCTTCACCTCGTCCTACCTACCCCTCCACTCCACGCCAACCTTTCAACCAGTTAAGCTCCATATTCTGATAACGTGAATTACCTCCACATACCATTCTACTCTTCACAGGAGGAGCTGTAACTTTCCCTGATTATCGGGAAGAAAGAGCAGTTAAGATGGAGCAATTCTCTTTCCTTCTCTTGTCCTGCAGACTCCTTAATGAAACACCTTTCTTTTCAAGATGGCAGCGGCGGAGTAGGCAGCATCTGGGTTTCTCTGCCCGGGCCTGTCCTTTTTGTCCGCTTTTTCTTTTCCCCTTCCCCCTCTGTCAGTTTTGTTTAGTTTTCGATTATACCTACGTTCCAAGGACAGGTCTTTTGGTAGGAAGGCGGTTTCGGTGGAGTCCGGAGTGGCAGTGGCTTCAAAGGCAGCCCCTGGAGCAGGACTGTGATGGCGACATGGCGTGGGCTGGAATAGCCCAGAGCGAGAAGCTGGCTGCTGATGAGGCCGAAGTGGGACTCTGGCCGTGGAGAAGGAAAAGTTGGACTCTTTTTTTAAGTTAATGGGAATGATGCCGTTGCAAGGCGACGGTATAAACTATTCATTGTATTTTATATCGAATATGCGTGACAATAATTTGATTCCGTTCAATTCAATTGGTTTTATATTGGATGAGGCAAGCTGGTGAGCATTGAATGTAAATTTAGCTCCTGTGTGTAGTTGTAACTCTGTTGGAAGTTAATTAAATTGTTGCGGGTCCGTCGCAGCCAAATTCCAGGTAAAGCTGTTTTGAAATCATAGAGGCCCTCTAAAAAAGTTAAAGAAGTGCCATCATGGATACAACCATTCAACCGTCCTTTCTTAGTACTATTGGAAGTACCTCTGAATCCCTGTTATCTCCCTTCCTCAGCTGCAGGATCCTCACAGCATACCTGACTCAAACTTAAGTTATAACTATCAGTCTTCGTTTGTGACAGCAGATAGAGTCCAACCTGCTAGCTTGATCTGTATCCCCACAGACGTTGCCAGTGGTTCAAATGAGCTGCAGTTAAAATCTCCCAAGAAACTGCTGTTTATTTTTACTAAGAGCTAAAAATCATTCCTCATTTCTGCCATCTTCTTAAAGACTATTTTTCAGTGATCATCCTACCATCTCTTATCTAAAGCTTGACACCAATTTTTATTCTGTAAAGTT